TCGTGTCTTGGCTTCCATACGCCACAGGGGGTTCCGTAACTCTCCGCTCACAGGAGGTAAAGGGGTCCCCCCACTCCCCCCTCCTCCCCCCTTAAATTTGAATGTTGGTATTGTACAGTCTTACCGAAAAACGACGAAATAAAATAAACATAGATGGACATTATAACATACAGGGTAAATAGTACACGCCCTTGAAATACAAAGTCGAAACCAACCGATATAAAATATTTTTAGAAAAACAACTTATTTTTTATCTTTAGTTGATTTAATTAGTGAAATAAATTGCATTAAAAAGTGTTGACTTTCTTCAAGGTAATCTCTTAGCCTGCCATGGTTAGAAGCAATATTATTCTAAGTCAGTGGGAATTACCACTATATTTCATTTGTTACGATTCGCGAATTCTACCGTTTTTTGCCTACTCCATGTCCCTATCCTAAGGCTCAATTTATATTGCGGCGGAACGGAATGGAAGCGAATTTTTGTAACGATATTGTACATAGTATCGTTATAAAAATTATCTTCCATTTCGTTTCGCCGCAATATAAGTTCAGCCTAAGTTTGCTATTAAGTCAGATAACACCAATTATCGTTTACGTTTAGCTTCTGGATGTTTTTCAAACGATGTTGGACGCATCTGAAAGAGAAATAGGCATTTGATATTATTTTAGAGTGTAAGAAACAAAAGGTTTATTGTATAGGTATTTACTTTATTTTTATTCCATTTTTTTTGTGCTATATAGTGTTGCAAAAAATCTAGTTAACATTTATACCGGTAGTCATGAACGGACAGGTAACCGGGAGTTTCCAAGCGTGCAAAGTTGAACATAAAATACATGTGGGATAAGGTTCAATTTACAATGTATCGGAAAAAAGTATCGATATCGTCGAAAATTCTATTATTTCGGCATACATTTTGTGTTTAATTTTGCACGTACCGAAACTCCTATAACGGTAACCTCGGTTCCGTTACCGTTTTCTAACACATTGTCCCTCTGTATGCTATCAGTCGTAGTTAGATGACATTTTTAAAGTTGAATAAGACACACGACCTTAGGGCCAACGCAAATCGGCGGACGAGTGGGACCTGTCTTCTGCCCGCTGTTGCTTGATAGAGATCTCATGCCCGCCAGCGTTAACGCACACTGACAGAGGAACATCCCTTACGATACAGCGATCGTCCACCAGCGTATCGCAGCGTCCGCTCCGCTCCGCTTCCGTTTGCCGCTTCCCCGGCGCAAGCAAACGGCCTCCAGCGTATAACTGCTGGATTATGTCGCATAACGCATAACTAAGGGTAGCCACCCGCCGCGGTTAATCCGCTAGTGTGCTCTCCAATACCGTAGAGAAGTGCGCTGCGATACTACGAGGTTAGTCTCAGAGCATTGAAATTTATACCTTATTATATTATTGAAATAGGATACAATATACTGATCAGTTTAATATCTTCTGCATCCCGTCCGCTAGTTGGCGCTGGCCCTTACTCAGCTATTGAAATAGAACATTTCCTCTAATTGTTACATGTCTACGTTTATTACATATGAACGTAACTCAATGAGAGAACTAGTTTGACACGATATGTTAACCTGAAAAATTACTAAATTGTGGTTAACAAAGGTTGGTCGGCAGAAGGACCTCTCACTCGAGCATCTCTAAAAAAATCGAAGCTTTTTGTACGCCCCACTTAAATACATTTCAGAATAAATTATATACATTCATAACAAGCTTACCTTAACATTATACTTAACTACCATTTCTAAGTACCAGTTCGTAAAGCAGTCTAAATATAAGTCGTATTTACTTTGGAATATCTATCATGATTTGTATAGTACAGTTCTGTTCAGAACAAGTACGCGTATAGCTAATTCATTTGGCTAATTATTTTAAATAATATTTAATAATTTTTTTTCATATAACAGCATTCAATTTATTAGATATTGCAATGTAAATTCCTAATGGTAGGTATCTAATGTCGCCAGCGATTGAAATTTTCATAATCATACATTTTAAATGGTTATTCTTTTGTTTTCGTTGTTCTTGCGATACTACATCATTTATACATATACATATTTATAATGTGATATATTTAACTAAGTGCTTTTGAAAACGTTACAAGTCATTTTGAGCAACTATTTTATGGCATCCATACTACACATAATTCTAAATTTCAACTAGTACAAATTGAAAGCTCTGACACAGAAAAGAATTACGATTACAATTTGCATAAAATATGCATTGATTTATTGTACTCATCTAGCTTCTTCTTCTAAAGCACACTCCAATACAAGCCAAACAATCGAATGCAATCGAATGTTTTATCGAAAGAAAAATTACTTCATGATAATTATACGAGTTGTGTTGTGGCACTAGTGTATGTAGTGTTGTTTGCAACATGCGAACTGACAAAACATTTGACGTCATTCAGTGTGACAATAAGCCTTTAGCGTAAGCTCGTTGGTCGATCTAACTAACAATTACCAATAGTGACGACTTGGCGAGATAACAAAATGGCTGACAAGGTACCGAGCATTTTTGTTTCCAATAAAAATACATATAACATAAACCGTTACATGTCAATGAAACAAATGAGGCATAGAAAGACTGAATATCAAACTATAGCCTGAGACAAATGATAGATAAATTGAGGAGCTCAAAATCAGTTTAAATAGCAATGCATTTAATGATTGTCGATGATGAAGGGCTTTTTTAAAATTCATTCATAGCAGACAGGGAAAAACATAAATGTGATAGATTTAATAGAAAAATAAGACCACAAATTGTACTCTGCAAAAACTTGATGGTAGAAAGATATAATTCCTTTACAAATTTGCAATTTATATTTTACAAGGAATAATTGAACGAATACATTATCATTCGAAATAGGTAACTTGACTTTCTACTTACCATTTCAAAGAATTGTTTTTTAAATGATAGAAGCTTTTCGATGGCTGCTCAACATGAAAATGACAACTTTACTGTATATTATATCCACTTTTGGAGAGGTCCACTTCTGAGCATGTCGAAATCTGACATGTCCAGAAGTGGATCTGTCCAGATTATCCGAAATGTTCACTTCTGGAAATGTACCCATTTAACGCAATTTGAAATTGGTGAAGAATTTTTTGTTACCTCGTATCATTTCCGACTGACCGTGCACATGTTGCACGGGATACAATTCATTCATTCATTCATTTCAGCTGAAAGATGTCCACTGCTGAATATAATCCTCTCCAAGGAACAATTATTTTTTCATAATTCTTTTCCGCGAATTTGAAATATATTTTTGTACTAACTTGTTTTAAAGAGTAATATAGTCAGCACAAGTATAACGGGTTATTTTCGAAACGCTCAAAAACTCTTAACACGTGCTTGATTAAAATAAACACTTGTATTTTACGACCTTTGGTTTTGGAGAACACTGTGTCACTTTACAGTTCAAATAGTCTGTTAATTTATATGTATATATATATGCAAGTGTCAAATTTATTATGTGTATTTACATAGGTAGGCCTGTTTAAAAACAAGATGATTTTAAAAGAGCGTAAAACATAATTTTCTTGCATAATACAACTAACGATCGTTTAGTTACTTTTATATATTATGTACGATCTTCAAAACTATCGATCCACCCTGTATATATATGCAAATATGCATCAAAAGTGCCTGAGTTTATCTTTTTAAACCTATTACCTTATTAAAACTATTATTATTTATTAAATTGACCCAAAAAATCAATGGCGTTACAAAGATAAATAAAGAAAACCCGATTTTCATTAATTGGCAAAAACGGGCTTGATCCTTAGACACTTTTGATGAGTGTATTATTGTTAGTACAAGTCTCTAGTAAAGGGTCAGAGTCGGAATTTAAGTAAAAAAATACACTTTTAAATAAAGGCTATATTACACTAAACCTGTTTCCAATTCACCGCGGTTTTTAAAAACGTAAATATTTCCATATCTACATTCCATCAAGTCATGATTTTGAAAAAAACCTGTAATATGTTTACAACGCTACAAATAAAAACCTATCATTCTATTATTTACAGCTGTTATTGATTGATCAATAACAAAAATATGTCAGTCTGCATTTCCCACCATTGGCGTATAAAGCTACTTCTGCAATATCGCAATTTTTCAGGTGAGAGATTTAAACATTCTACGAACGAAATTAGTCGATAACTTTTGTATTTTTTATGCGTAAAAAACTGCATATAACATAATTTGTTACAATGTATACTTCGTGTTATTTTTATGATTTTCATGCGATAAAAGCATTTTGGGATGTATGATCACGTGTCTTTATTATTCCATATGGATACGAATTTAAGGTACGCACGGCCACAGCGTCGTTTACACATTTCCAATTTAAGCAGACACACAACGCCATAGCAATTAGTGGCAATTGTAAACTAAGTTTGACAAGACATGTTTGTATTGATAGTGTGATAATTCGTATCTTATAGCTGCTAGTAACACTTGTTATTGTGTATTAAATACAATGAATTAACATTAAAATAGTTGCTATTCATTTTGGGGTTTTTATATTAATTATAGAAAAGCAACCAAATGAGTAACAAAATCATCGAGAATATATAACCAGAAATAGAGACGAAATAAGGGCTATCCATCCCTGGCATCTCATCAGGCAAATGGGCCTTAAATCACTTTTAAATATCAAATCTCTGGATTGAAATCGCAAATTAGAAAGCTGAAATAGTACACCGCCAACAACTGACTGTGTGTGCGTCTCCGTCCGTATATTCCAAAAATATTCTGTATTTATTGTAATAAAGATAATATCTCTAACAATGAGGGGCTGTTCCATTCGGTGGTGCGGGAAAAAAGCATAACATTTAATTACAAAACAAACAGAATCACATTTCATCGGTAATTAAATACGTCATTTTTCAATTTCCGTCCATTATAGCAAAGCTCAAGTTAAAATGGTCGATTTGAAGTGAAAAAATTGACGACACCTGTCAATTGTTTTAAATTCGGGCTGGCCAATCGGAGTGCAGTTGTGAGTGTAATGATTTGGCAGAATAGTTTTCAAACAAATTAAATGACATTTCATCTCTATTTCTGGTTATATACTCGATGAACAAAATAAATAGCGGTAAAACGAACCTATTCAAATTCACTTTTAATTAGTGTTACATATATTTTAAAGTGACTTCTTATTGTGGATCTAAATTTATCATGAAAATATCTAAATGATTAGCGACTTATTTAGGTGACTATACGCACCGGTACACTGTATAATGCACTGTACACACACTAGTACAGTTGGTGCTAGTGTTTAAATAAGCACGCCTTTTCTCTCACCACGCAAGTTAAAAGGTGCATTCACACTGGGTGCACTAGCGCTACTGCCATTCTTTTTATTTAAATCGGACTTTACTTGAGAACGGTCGGTGTCCCTAGTACTCGCGCGCTTATCTTTCGTCATTGCCGTCACCTGTGTAAAACAAACATCATTACTTAGGTTAACACGATATGTCACGAACTTCATACAACGGTATATGCATTTTGTCCAATCGTTTCCCATTCTATTACATGATTATATTGTGTATCATTTGCACGAATATAAAAATGTATTACGTGTGAGTCTTATTTTTTTTTTATTGAGCATTGACTATAGAGCCAACTAAAACAACAAATATTTAAGAAACTCATGACATATTTAAACTAATGATTAATTAGTGTAAAACCTGTAACTACAAAAACCGCATTTTTCGTACTACTTTGAGTCTTATAATATTACCTATTTTTGTTTTTCAAGTTTTATACATAAAAAATGACCATAGACAACGGAACACTTTAAAACAAAAAAGGTATTTTTGTTAGTTAGATAATGGCAAAAAAGGATTTTTGTGCCAACCCATTATTTACGGTTATCATATGTTTTTTTTTAGTTTAGAAATTGTCTGCTTAGCGGTGAACTGTACTCAGTGCCGCTAGATGAGCTAGAAGCGTGCAGACGACTCTAATCCATATACACATTTATAATTGACGCAAAGCGTGCGGACGAATAAAGGGTCGTACTCTTATTATTCTGAACTTACCGCGTCATCAATAGCTTTGAATTGCCAATTCCAATGCACTCGATACAAGAACGGGCGATGATCGAATCGGTTATCGTCCGGGCTATAACTTTCCGCGTGGTATGAAGGTGTGAGGACAGTCATCTTGTGACGATTAATCGCGTAACAGCGGAAGAAATGTTTGACTTTTTCAGCTACCTGAAAACATATAATATTTGATCTCTATCAAAAAAATTAATAATAAGGCATTACTGAATTAAAGATATCTCAAATAATTTTGAATATTTTTATAGTTTTATTGTAATTAAAACAGGCCAACATCAACGTAATACGATACCATTGTAGGTAGGGATGAGGCATTAGAAATCATATAAAAAGAAGTAAACATTTTCGGATGTAGCGTTACTCGAAACTCCAATCACACCGCTTGTTTCAACACGCGCACTGTAGTTGAGATGCGCTTAGCTTATGTTTAAATAAACCGATAAATCAATACAAAGTACTAAAAAAACCACCCCCAAAAGGTCGAATTACACCTTTTTGCCAAGTTTTATTGAAATCGGTTACCGGAAAGTACGCGAAATCTAATTCATCCCCTAGTTTGCCACCCTTAAAGGTGGAATATTTTCTTCCAATGATAGTGGTCTCTGAGGTACCCTTTTTCCAACAAAAAAAGAATCATCAAAATTGGTTTACAAATAGGTGCCATACATAAAAAAGAAACAAAAAAGCATACAGTCGAATTTAATCTCCTCCTTTTTTTGATGTCGGTTAAAAATGGTTAGGGACCGGAAGAAAACCAAAAAGTTAAGCTGTCTCTGTTGACCGGCACTTCTCAATATTTCTTTATAGATTGTAGACTAAATCGATAATCCCGAGTTTAAAAAACTCTTTGTTAAAAACCCAGATGAAAATGGACGGGGCTGTTTTTGGTTTTTGACTGAGTAACCAGTAGAATTTCATAGTATCGCGTGAATAGCATAGTATCACTGAACTATGTTTCTAATAACAAGTCACGTTAAGTTAGAACATTTGTGCGATTTGTGCAACTTACTTCCTGCGGAGTACATTTATCACTCCACGTGTGTACTAGCTTCTGGAACATACTGTATGGGCCGCAATGCTGAGTTTTTCTCAATCTCCCAAACTCTGACAGCTCAGCATATGTCATACCCATATCCTGTTCGTCAGTTTGTGTTATTTGACCGTCTGCTAGAGGCTCTAATTCGGCTGTGGGCGGCGCTTGCAGTATTTCCGAAAGGGACGGCAAGAAAAATCTGCAAGCACGTCAAAATAATAACCGTCTTATTAAATTTTGGTAAAAGCGATGTTTATACTTGAAGGAATATTATTTCTGAGATCTCCTGAATAAGCTTACTTCAAACCAAGGTTCGAAATTATAATTATCATTGATAATTATCACGATAATTTTATTGGTATTTATATTATCTATATTTATCTTGATATTTATAAAATTAATTGGAACAATAAAATGCTTCCGCTAGCAATGTCGTACCATGTGTTTTGTATTCGAGACGTATCTAAACGTGTCAAATGTGTATCACAAAAGTAAGTCACAAACCAAATCGTTTTTCCAGAGATATTTGTTCGTGTTTATTTTGTTTTCTGTTGGTCATTTTTAGTCAAAAATAAAAGAGACAAAACTATGAATCTTCATGGATAATTATTATCAAATATATCGGAGTTATCAGATAATTACCATGATAATTACCAAAGGTGATAAATATCTTGATAATTAGGAACCCTGCATCAGATCAATCTTTCTGAATTTAACTAAAATTCGATCATGAATTATATTACTATAATATATTACTAAAAAGTAATACAGGAAAGTAAGTACTTATATTAGAGTTCTATTTCATTTCTCTGGGATTGTTGTTAAAGGTGCCTAAAACTTACCGGCTCTTGGCATATTGCAGAAAACTTTTGAGATCAGTCTTGGAAATGCCTCCAATAGGATTGACGTCAGCACTGGAGCAATCGTACTTCGTCATATAGCCTCTTAGAGCCTCATCCACGTTTGATGAGCCCAATACGAGTAAGCCACCTGGCCGGCCGCGGACCCATAACATTAGTTGAGCAAATAAGTAAGATAGCACCATTCTTAGTCGAGCCTGGGGGGCGAAAAATAAGAACAACGTAAAAAAGAGTACAGAAAGCTAGTCACGCGATGTTTAGACTAGTGTATACAGATTTTTTTTAAAGATGGGGTTTGTTCTTTGGTTAAAACTATATATTATGTTCATATGTTGTTTTAGCAATGGCCTTGTTCGCAATCAATTTTTTTCTCTTCGAAGGCACACCTTCGGCTTTTTAGAACAACAGATTATCTCAAAAACACCTAATTAATCACAGATTGTTTAAAAAAACTAAGTCGTATATGGCGCGCAACGCCAACGAATTGTATACCGGCCCAATATTGTCACGTGATTATTTGAATCAGTACAAAGTTCGGTGTCCTACACACATCAAAAAAAGTTTGCGATCAGTTTGAAAACTTAACATATTTTTAATATGTGGAAATATTATTAAGAAATATGTAATAAATAGTTTTTTTGTTAAAAGTACAACATTAAATAAATAATTAAAATTAAAAACAAATAATAGTATCACTAAAGAGGTTTTTGAAATATTTTTAGAAATTAAAAAATATTTCAAGTTTTAAAAGTGATCGCAAACTTTTTTTGATGTGTGTATGCATAATCAAATTTAGTATGTTCTTATATCGTTCTTATATGTAATTTATTTATTTATAATACAGCTGTATAATAAATAAATAAATTATTAAATTATTATTTCGCTTTGAGCCATTGTTCATGAAAAGCGATATACAGTCCCAAATCTACTAATACTAACTACTATAAAAGTTGCATGATAAATTATGACCTAAACCGTGATATACAAATACATTTTTGTGAAATGTATTTATATAACACGGAAAGTGCATTCAAATAAGTGTGATGTATTTTGAAATATTGTGATGTAGTGTTGAGAGAGCCTATTCGCTTGAAATACGGCGTGTGCGTGTGGCGTCTCCACGCCACTCGACATCTCGTTCCGCGAAATAAAAATAACTTAATACAAGAGATGTCTAAATTGAACATACATAGCTCCGGACCTCATCCTATGTCAATAAAAATCTATAATAAACTCCCAGTATAATTAAAATCAGAATCAAACGTAAACAAATTCACAAATGTATTGAAATAACTATTAATCTCTAAAAGTTATTACGGTATGGACGAGTACCTCCATGAGAAATTATAATTAATGTCTGCCCCTCTTCCTTTCCATGTTGCGATTCCTGTCAAGGTGCATGTGTTTGTTAGTTTATAAGTGTATTCATAAATATATTTTTGTAACGAAAAACATGTAAAGCACTTGTAAATAAATAAAATGAAGATGAAGTCTATGTCACATTAACATCCGAGGAATTACATTTTTTTTCTGACCAGCTCAAATCGATTCCGCGACGGTAAAAGAGGTGACTCCTTAAAATACTACTATACCTGTATATTTTGCAAGGCCAAATTTTGTCGTGGACAGCCACCCTTGCCCCTAAACTTGGGTACTAGTCCGGTGGCCGTAGTAAAGATTCCTATAACAGCGCTGACTGCCGCGTCTATCACTATTGGAAAGTGATAGCTTCCTATTTCACTAGACAACTAAAACAAATAGTAAATATTATATTCAAATTGACAGCGACTGTGATCATTGAGTTAGCAACGTGGGCGTTAGATGATGATTTCCCAAATTAAATTCCCAGTAATACTAATTTGGGAAACCAATTATTCTAAAATTCTCTGGCTTTTCTGGATAGTGCCTAGGAATGTACGGTAAAATGTAAAATAATTATATTCTTATGTTATACTCTACTTTTTTAGTTTTATACTAGACATGGAACAAGGTCCATTAAAAAATGTACTTCTAGGAGTACAATCATAAAATGTACCGAAGGTACCAAAATTTCAAAATTCCGACGTTTAAAGACTACCAGTTACTGTTACTGTGAACCCTGAAATAGTAGCGTTAAGATAAAATTTTAAAAACTTTGTCAGTATACAAAAATTCATTTATTATTCCGACACGTAGCGAGGGCCAAAAGTGGCCCTAAGTATAATTTCAAAAAAGTGCGATCAGGAACATAACATTACATTTGCGATAGGAATGTGATGCGATAGGAATGTGATGCGATACCTGCATAGCTCGTTGCTTGGTCTCTTGACTGGAATTCTCCGATGCCATGTAACAGGTGACAAGCAATCTGTTGCACAGTTCCATCGGATCGGACGGTGTATAATCAGATTGACATAGAATCTTGCGTACGTCGTATAGTACTTGGCTTTCTGTAAACCAATAAAAAAACATCAATTTACGTTAGAATTGTGGCCGGTGGCCTTCATCTAAATCTGGTAGGCTATAAACAAATCATAATATTGTCGTCCTTATCCATGAGGCGTGCGATATATTGAAATTTTGAATTGCATTGCATTTTTATTATTATTATTGGAATGTGCAATGTAATGGGATTTATGCCTTAATAATTGAATTATCATTAATTATTATTATTCAATGATTCTTTGAAGAAACGTAAAGGAAAATATAATTTCTGATTGACGTCATTCCAAATTCAAATAATAAATAATCATGCGCGCAGCAAATTTTATTATGTGTAAAACTATTATATCACAATAACCAGACAATTCGTTGAAAGAATGAATAAATACCATGTTTAAATAATTTTAAAATAAGAAATATATAACAATTAGTGACAATTGTTCAAATATCACCTTCACCATAAATGTTATAGTGACGTTACGCGACATTAACAACATACGAGTACACATGTCTCTTGCCTAGTCTATTTGTAACTTAGGTCGGATTTTTATTCGATATTACAAATGGACACCTACGTCACTTTATTATTAATGTACTAAACAATTTACATTAAGTCACTGTGTACTTCATTTATAGGATATAAAAATGCTTGATTTATGCAAAATTTATGTCTACCAATTTTTAGAAGCTATAATATACCTTGATAACTTATTGAGAGGCTATAAGACAATTCTATTTTATGCCCTCTGAATATAGTTTCTTACATCTAAAAACAATCGACTATACACACATCAAAAAAAGTTTGCGATCACTTCGAAAAACTGAAATCTTTTTTGTTACTGTAGATTATATTATGATTTTTTCTTCTTTTTAGATTCTTTATTTAAAAATAAATTAGAACATAAAACAATGACCCCGTTCAATTGTTTTTTCATATAAAAAGGCTTTCAGTCCTAGCTTACGCTCATTCAGAAATCTGATTTAGTCAATTATAAGCGATTCAAGATATTTTTCGCGGAAAGTTGTGATTGAAAAAATGCCAAGAGGATTATCAGAGGTTTTACGAGCTAGAATAGTAACTTTGAGGGAAGAAGGATACACCACGAGAGTAATAGCACGCAGACTTGCTATATCCCAATCCTGTGTCGTGGCTACGTTGCAGAGGTATCACGGAATGGGGAATTTAGTTGACCGACCCCGCAGCGGTCGCCCAACTGTTTTGACAGCTGCCCAAAAGCGCTATATTAGATTGCTGGCAGCCCGTGATCCAACAATCAACGCCACTAAGATAAAAGCAGAAGTCAGGGCCGCCTCTGGGCTTGAAGTTAGCACGCAGACCGTTCGCAATTGCTTGCACCAGGCTGGATTACGAGCACGGAGGTCTTGGCGAGCTCCGCTCAATTCCCGGCAACGTCAACAACGAAGATTGCAGTGGGCTAGACTTCGGCAAAATGAAGAAGGTGAGGACGAAAACATTTGGCAAAACTGTCTCTTCGTTGACGATTTCCGAATCAGCACTCATCCAGATAACCGACGTGTCCGTGTCTGGAGAAGACCAGGCGACCGTGAAAGACAAAGAACTGCCACTGGAACAGTTCAGCAAGGCGGAAAATCGGTGTCCTTTTGGGGTGGCATTATGATTGGAGCTAGAACGCCTTTGATCCCGTATCGGGGCTTCATGACAGCAGACATGTACAAAGCAGTTGCTATTGATGATATCGTCAGACCATCCGAGTAAACCATGGGCACCAATTTGTACTGGTCGATGATAATGCGCCCGCACATCGAGCTCAACGAGTCAATGCTGCTCTTCAAGAATACGATATCACACGATTAGACTGGCCTGCCGGCTCGCCCGACTTAAACCCAATAGAGCACGCGTGGGATGCTCTTAAACGAGCAGTATGGAACCGTGAGCCACGTCCCCAGACAGTTCCAGAGCTCAGGGAAGCCGCTATTGAAGAATGGGATAGGTTACCCCAGGAAATGCTGGATAACTTGATCCTCAGCATGCCCAGGAGGATCTTCGCATGTATTCGAGCCAGGGGAGGAGTTATTTTATATTGAATTCACACCTTTTAATAATAAATTGTTGTTTAAGTTTAATTAAACAGTCTTTTTCTTTCTACGAAATTTCTATCACTATTACATTATGATTAATGGCTCAATTTTTTAAAATAAATAATAAAAAATAGTTTTATATTTTAATTTCAAACAGGGTATTCCTATTTAAAGAAAGCATACAACATAGATTTTTTCTTGATAAAGTTAAATTTAAAGAATTATAGGAGCTTATGCTATTGATCGCAAACTTTTTTTGATGTGTGTACACTCGTATTGTTAGTGTTAGTGCATACACGGAAAATGGAACTATTTTTTCAGATCTCATCTGTATACTTATACTTTAAAATGAAACGGGTTCTTCCCAGGTCCCACGCTACTGAGGGCGCATGGACGTTTATTTTATCGTTGAACGACTGTCGTGTCTAACTGTTCCCACTAGATCGTGACGACAATTTATCGGTTCACGGCAACCGCCTTGTCGTTTGCACGACAAAATCGTTTGAAGCTGCTATTATCTGTCGTCGCATTTTTATCGTGACGTTTTATTTATCGTTAGACGACGGTTGTTTTATTTCTTCTCATTGTCACAACAGTCTGTTTTAGTAACGTCAAAAAAGACGTGAACGATAGTTAATCGTGTTATATAAGTAAACAACTTCATAAAAATATACAAGCACGACAATTTGAAAGTGCGCGACTACCTGTAGTCACGACATATAGATGTCTGTTACACAGTTAGTGTAGACTAATGCCAATATTCATACAATATTAAAAACACCGGATCGACGTTACGACGACAGATTATCGAGACAATGGGAAGAGTTAGAACGACAGTCGTCACACGATAAATAAAACGTCTCGATAAAAATGTGACGACAGATAATCGCAGAATAAAACGATTCTGTCGTGCAAACGATAAGGCGGCTGCCGTGAACCGATAAATTGTCGTCACGATCTAGTGGGAACAACTAGACACGACCATCGACAACAAATAAAACTGGAACAAAAATTGGAACGACATTACTATAGAAGTAGATCTCAATCAATCCCATTTCATTTGTTCCTACTGTTATTCGTTTTCTATTCTTATTCTACTTGATGCATGGTATTTTTAATTATTTAATAAAAGTAATGTAAAGGGCCCGAAATGTTGGTTTGTTCGAAAAAACAAATATACGCGATTTAAATCCGGAAAAATAGTTTCATTTCCTATAATGTAAGAACTTAACTTTAACTAACCTCCTTTTTGTATAGCGTCACATATCTGCGTGCACATGGAGAATACGATGCATGCGGTGCTGGTCGAGTCCACTCCGCCGCTCAGAGGCAAGAAGAAGCCACCCTGCCCCGATCGACGGAGATAGTCCCAGAGCCAACACGCTGGACCTGTTTTCAAAAGAATGTTTATAAATAATAATTTGTCTTTTATAAGTTATGAAAGATTAAAATCCGAAAAAATAGGAGCCAGTTTTACAATTTAAAGTCTTTGCCCATTGTCCCAGAACAAACATGAACGAGCTGTGAACGTATCAGACACAAAACAAACACGACCAAACAATATTATGACCATGAGGGAGACTGATGTCTAAACTCATACAAAAATGCCTGTGCATCACGCCAAGTCGAGGTACAGTTTATGAATCTGCATGGAAAGCTAAACGTTTGAGCTTATTATATAAGAACTAACCCAATTCAATTTCTTCTTCAGGCGTCAGATACTTCCACTCGATCGGAGGACTTATCGTCAAATGTACGTCGTCGTCATCTGACAACGCGAAGTCAACAGTGATACGTGGGAACGGTGGATTCGACGCAGCGAGGTGAGACCGGGATCTGATCTGGGTCCTGTATGAACGTATGTCTTCTAGGTCTATAGTGGCTGTTATTACTTCCTGAAAATATAGTTCATATTGCAAATATGTTGGGGGTACCTTACGCGCCTAGTTCACGCTTTGGTCGGTAAGTCCAACGTTTTGTAGCGTAGTCTGTACTTAAATTATACTTGCAATGTTTGTTTTATTGAATATCATGATGTTTTTACTACCCATGATATTGAAATATTTTTTGTAAAAATACTAGTACTGTTTCTTATTGCCACAACCACTAGTTTGTTATTATTATTAATACAAACATCGAACAATACAAAGAAAAATTCATTTCATTCGATTTCTCTGGACTCGATATAGCGTATTCAGCTACTTAATAAATACCGCAAAACTCATTTCTCAAACATATTCACTACATGTAATTACGACATTATTTTATTTCTAGCCATGTTGAGTAGGGCTAGCATAACAGGACGCGACTTTTCGTATAGAGAGTAGCAATATCGCGCGCTACTGTCACTGTCGCGCAAGTGGCGCCCTGTCGTGCTAGGTTTAACAGTACCTATTTAAAAATTCAAAAATCAAAATTTTCGATTTTTACGCTATGTATTTCAAAAACTCGCACTATAAAAACCTTAAAAAACGGAAACGGAACTTTTTATTAATAAATTAACAATTATCCTGTCATCAATTCCCATGATGTTGTCGTTTACTGTGATTTGCTGTTCGAAAAAAAAGGTTTGAGATCCCTGTTTCTTTGTTAAGACGCTGACAAGCGTCGATTACCTTACGTCGATGACCTTGAGCGATAACGCGCCTACTATAATTTCTCCAATAAGGTGGCGCCATACGCCCCGATGCGGTAAGAGTGTGGTAGTTGGACCTTCCGCTTGATTTAACATAATATTGATTGCCGCTAACAGACGGCGTTGTACTTAAAATACACACATGCTATCAAACCAAACAATATCAAAGCATATAAGAACTGGACATGTTATGCAAACAAGAAACAACCCACACCTCGAGTGAAATTGAGTTATGTATTTAGGTAGAACAACAGATGTGTCCTCTATCCGCTCACAAAAGATCCTGGCAACATACCACGCCAAAACAGAGAAAATAAAAGTCCTTCAGGGTCCCAACCCTAAATAAGTAACTTTTTAATAGCTAAAAAGAACCTTGCTGCTTATCTTCATATAATGTCTTTTTTAAAGTATGCTAAACGGATCCATGTCACAAGTACTGAAATACTGTAGATCTTTGGCGTTTTCATTACGAAAACTAGAACATGGTTCTCGTTAACTAAATAAAAAGATACATAATGTTTTCTATTTATTGCTATATAATATAATAGTTTCCCTATATCGTTCTCACTGCAACAGTACATCGTTTGTCTCAAATATAGATGCGCTGAGTACAAGTTTTACCGAGTAACTGAGTACCGAATATTACTCGGTTTAACATTTGCCGAGCCGAGTACTCGGCCGAGTTACTCGGTTCATTACAACCGGAACGCGATGATCCTAAAAGCCCCCGTTGCTCTAGAAATAGGCCGATATGTCAATGAAAGTTTATTTTCGGGAGATCAGAGTCCTTTCCAATGGTGGGCAGAGCATAATACAAAATATCCAAAACTGGCACAGTTAGCACGAGTGTTTTTATGTGCACCTGCAAGCACTGTGTATAGCGAGCGGTTATTTGCCGAAGCGGGTAATGTGTATGAAGAAAAAAGGAACAGACTATTACCTGAACGCGCAGAAAGCCTTGTAAATATTCCTACATCATAACTTGCCTGTTAAATTTTAAATATTAATAATGTAAACTCTCTTTTTAAATTACTAAATTGGTAGAAATTGTTACAATTGTCTACAATTTCTAGTAATAAATCTCTTTTGAATATTTTACATATATTGTTGATTTTACTTTATTATGTCTATAGCTGTAATGCTTTATTTTAACCGAGTACTCTTCTCATGAACCGAGTTATTCGGCCGAATACACCGAGTACCGAGTAGCAAACGAGTACTCGGCGCATATCTAGTCTCAAATAACTTACCTATTTATTTCTTCACACTGTTTTTACAAAAATGTAATTATCACGAAAGTGAAATTTTGTGGGTTGGTTATAGTTTGCATAACAACTACATATCCCGTAAGTATCGTGCTCAACGGTAGACAGCCGATTACAATACAATATAAATTAATTTGTCAAAACTGGTCAAAACAGAGGTCTGGCAACGTATTCCACGAACGCAAGCTACGCAGCAGAAGTTTTCAACGTTGCAATTTTACTAAATAATCAACAACGCAAACAATAATTTCATTTTTGTTAACCGACTTCAAAAAAAGGAGGAGGTTCTCAATTCGACTGTATGTTCTTTTTTTTGTTGTTTTTTTGTATGTATGTTACGCGATAACTCCAGTATTTGTGAATCGATTGTCATGATTCTTTTTTTGTTGGAAAGGGGGTATTTCCATAGTGGTCCCATTTCATTTTAAAGAAAATCATCCACCTCAAAGGGTGGCTGTTCACGCATGAAGATTCATTTTTATAAATAGCGCCTAACGTTAATTTAGGAGCAATTACTTTTAGCAATTATTTAGTTGATTTTGCTATTTCTCCAATTCAAGGCGTTTTTCTCTCGATATACTTTGAGTAGTGTAGTAGTGAGAACCTATTTTTATTATCTCCAGTATCAAGTCCTGTATTGTGGCGAACTAGGGGATATTTCAATGAAACTTAGCAAATAGACGTAATTCCACGTACTTTTGAGGTCGGTTTTTTTAGTACTCTGTACTGAGATTATTATGAATACTTTGTGTTTTAGGTTCTAATCCAACCAAATTTTTTATTCTCACCTAATGGCTAAATTTGACTTATTTTTAATATTTTGTTTTGATTTCAACGTATTGGTGCATTATATTTACTTATTTACGCATTTTTTTGTGTATGATATTTTTTCACACTGTTAAGTGCCTGTCCATAATTTGCAAGCAAATATTTAGCTCGTACTTTAGTAGGCGAAAGTTATTTTTTACTCCTAAATGTTATTTGTCTTTTATTTAAAACAAATAAAGTGTCAGGATCAAGATAAGTACCATTTAAATAACCACACCAAACGAGAAAAATACGTCAAAAAATAACCACCAGAGTCTCACTGTAATCCAGTTTTTGTATTACCTATGACAATAAGCAATATTCTAGGATTTTCAAGCTACACTTCAAGATGCGTGTTACAGAATGTACTACTTTCAAGGATTCACGTGCTATGTAATTGCCTAAAAACTTACACAAAAACATTACGCGATTTTGGGCACCTCATCGCCTTAACGTTTTCTCTAATTCTAAAAAAAACGATGTATACAGTAATTTGATATTACCAACACACCGAATTTTTAAAAATATAGATACATCAGCTTGAAAAAGAAATATATGTTTTGCCATTGTGCTCATGCTTAGCAATCTAATGACTTAATCACTGTCGTTCTCTGCTAAATGCGGTTTAAGGTAATATAACACTCACCACGTCGTTCAAAGCAAATTGCAATCCACGACTAACAATTTCTCCATTGACAGCGACACAGGAACAACCATTGAAATAAATCCTCTGTCCATCACAGCCTCTCAGATTGCTAAATAAATACGCGCCCCCACTCTTGTAGGTAGCGCTTTTGACTAAGTCTACAGTGACGTATGCTTTGCGAAGTTCCATATAACTGCCGGAGCCGTTGGATATAATTTCTGCGCCATCGAGACTTAAAGGGATGTGTCGGCTAGAAATAAAACGTACATAATAAACAATAAAACACGGTGTTCAAAAACAGAGTCATGCGTATTTATTTGCAAACAGGACAACTCTTAAATCTGTGACCTGGTTAATACAAGAAGTGCGTAAGTAATATGGACGTAGGCACTCCTTGTACCAAACCACAGAAATATGATTTTAATATACTTTTTAATAACTGCCTCCGTGGCCGAACGGTTACCATGCCGGACTGCCACGCAGAGGTCCCAGGTTCGATTCCCGGGCCGAGAGAAATAGTTGTAGGGCCTACAATTATATCTCTCGTGAGTTTGGGTGTAATTTGTAGTTGTCTATGTGTGTGTCCATGGCACCCGCGACACAGGATTTCCCTAGTGCGGGGCTATGTTGAGTGTGTGCGTTATTTAAAAAAAAAAAATAATTAATAATAATCTCGAATTAATAAATAAATACTAATTTTGTATATAATATTTTTTATAGACTTTATTTAATAAAAAATTTTATTTTCTATATATAAATCCTTTTCCCAAAAAACAGTGATAGTCAAAGTCAAAGTTTCAGTTCTATTCTAATTGAGCAAGCTGTACTATTCAAGTCAATACTGTTTACTCATGATCATTATTTATTATTTCATTTAATGGTATAGAAATCATCTTAGAAAAGAGCCATGTCCAACGATGACATGTATATGAACTATATACGTCCGTGTTTAAACAATTATATTTGAAATACTGACAACTAAACTGTGACTGACTGTAAACAGAAAAATTTTATTTTTACAGTAATACAGATTTTACTACTTGCAAGCCTAGCAAGCTTAGATAATATCACTTGTCTTGTTCGCCACATGCAATTAGATCTAGTTCAACATTATCACAAAATATAGATACTTATGATGACCATTCTAGAGACCCCCACGTCAAGCAGCGTCTTGCAACGCTCACAGCGGCCACAGCGTCGACACGACGTCCGCGCCTCGGCGGCCGACAAGACGCCGTGCGTGCTTTGGCAAGTTGACGCTGACGATCGAAAGATGCCAGAGTGGTGGATCTCTTAATATTATACTCGGACCTTTTTTAATATGTAGAATGTTGTTGTATTTTAAATTATTGTTTTTAAGTGGTGCACCATTCTATTGTCTTTTCTGCCCGAGGACTTTCTAGTAGGCAATGGCTTTACGGCTTTTAGACCGCCATTTGTTTAGGATTGTATTTTGCAATAATATGATCTATAATATATAAATAATATGACTGTAGATGCACTAAAGGAATACGAGACCGTAGGTGAGTTCTTGTATCTTCGATCAGTCATCAGCAACAGAGGAAATAGTGAACATGAAATGCGACGACGCATTGGTATGGCAAAAACTGCCATGACACAACTTGCAAATATATAGAAGGACAGAAACATTCGCAGTAGAACGAAGATACATATAGTTCGCATGCTAGTCTTCTCTATATTTTTGTAAGACGCGGAAACCTGGAGGCTAAGAGCCGCTGATAGGCAAAGAATTGACTCTTTTGAGATGTGGTGTTGGCGTCGCCTATTAAGGATTCCCTGAACTGCACATCGTACGAACGTATCCGTGCTTGACGAATTGCAGTTGCAAAAGCACAAACGCTTATTTTTCGTCTGATTGCTCCACATTCTGCAATTCTTTGGTCCCAGTGAACGCAGAAGCGCTGATAGTCTCGAGAGCATGATTGTTGGGCAGGACTGAAGGCCAACGAAGAGTAGAGGATTAGAGTAGAAGATTGAGGGAGAACGAAGAGCAGAGTTCGAAGTTCGACACGATGGTGTAACCAGGTGGCTGAAAGTGTGGCTGCACCAGTGAGCGTCGCATTCCACCTAGCCAAAGACAGAGTACCGTGGAGAGAATTTATTGACGGTGTAGTAATTTATTGACGGCTCAAAGTCACGATCCTCAGCAGCGAGGGAACGACAGAGGAGTATTTTGCAATAAATTTGAAATAAATAAATAAGTCACAAAATTCACTATACATATATAAGTTTAAACTTAAGTATCGCTTAACCTCCTTTACCTTTTACTGTCGACATATACATATATACACATGGTCAAATTACTCTATAAATCGCACCCGTCTTGGAGTAATAAGGCCACATCTGCAAAATGACAACTTTTCAGGAGTAAGGTTTAAAAATTCCACGAACGAAATTAGTCGATAACTTTTTATGCTTATATAGGAGTTAAAAAAATGTTTCATGTAATTCGTATTATTTTTATAACTTTCATGTGATAAAAGTATTTCTGATTTATGATCACGTATGGCTTTATTATCCAAAAGTGTAGTGTGAACGTAAAGTTTATTGACGGTCTCTGTGGTCAAGTGACTTCCACCCAGTTTTCATTGTGTCGCCATCTCTGAGGTCCCGGTTTCGATTCCAGGCCGAGTCAATGTAGAAATTATTTTTTCTGTATAGTCTCAGGTCTGGGTGTTTGTAGTACAGCCGTTGTTTCCGATTTCCGTAACACAAATGCTTTAGTTACTTTGGGGTCAGAGCAACGTACGTGATGTTGTGTAATATTTACTATTACTTATTATTATTATTATTAATTTTACCCTTTAATTCCATACGAAAAAGGGCGAAATTACGTTTCATAAAATAATCTACGATTTTAATGAACATTTCGTGCGACTATCGAATATAAATTTGGCACCGTGTATACATATTTCTGCGAGTGACTGACCAATGAATTGAAAAAGTATCTCCTTATGGTGTTTTAATCTAAATTGATCTAGAGTTCATCTAAAATGGATCATAAAAATGATCTAATAACAATAAATACCTTTTTGGATTCCACAATTCTTCACAAATTTCGAAACCTATACACGTGTCTCTAGTAGCGATCACTGCGTCACCAATGGACACCGTAGACTGATTTGTGATAGCCGTTATCATTCTAGGCAAATAATATTCTTCTACTTGTCTTTCCTGGAAATAGAAAATAATCTAATATTTTTAACTGTTCTGAAACATCTCGAATATTTTTCCATTATATTAAAAAATAACACACAAAAGTTGTCGTTTATGGACCAAGCAACTCTTTACCGGCCTAGGCCAGAAAAGTAAGTAGTAGTAGTAAAATTTTTCGTCCTTCGGGACAAGCTAAGGCGTGTAATTGGTCATACTGCCAAATCTAAGATTGTAATTTTTCTTCAATAGTTTAATTTTCTGGTTTTTTTTTCAGAAAAGTAAACGTGAATGAATCCGTCCTTGCTGCTCTAAACTATTAAATTTATCTACTAACAATGAACAATGTAAACTGAATAATAACTATCATGCCTACTAACATCAGTGTCTGTAATTGAGAGGATGAAAAAAAAAATGGAAAATAATCCCTTTTTTGCGTTTAATCATGCTGCTTAAAAATACCTGCACCACATATTTATTTAAAAAGGAAGAAGCCGGTAAAATAAAGTAAAGACTTTCGTGTTCCTCTTTTGTATTTTCGTTAACTTTTTAAAGTCTTTTGTAATTCGTCATGTTGTTGAGAAAAGCAGTATGCCTGTATACACACTTTCGACAGAATGGGTCTGACGCGTGTAACACCAGACCTCACTGCCGCTCGGCCTTGTATTGTAACTAATACTCGTCAGGCAATCCCTGACTTCGTGGCCTATGTAATAACGTATTATTTCTCACATATTCTTGGAAATATTCCCTTTTCTTTTAAACAAATTAAATACAATTTACTACTCGGCCTACTCCTCAAAATCCGTATAAAAATCCATTATTTACGACTACGTTATACTTTTGAATATTTGACCATTGCATACAATTTTAGAAGTATCTGAAGAAAAATGCCATACAGCCAAGTCGTGTGCTTGTTTTTTCAGCGCTAAGATTACATCGAGAAAAGCTCTATTCCATATAAACCTCGGGGGAAACAGCAACTGCTTGACTCGTATAATTCTTACTCGTCCAACAATTGCTTACTTCCAGGATTATGACATATTCTACCTACTATTTTTTAAATTCAAATCCAATAGGACTTCACGAGTTTGAATTAGTGTCATTTTGTATAAAATTTACTAGGTTTTTTTCTTTTGATTTATATGATAAACGTTATTTAAAACCTTGATAGATTAATTTCAATCTACATACTATACAATTTTCTACAAAAAAAATCAAACATTCTTACTTTGGTCCAAGCGGAGAACCATCTAGTCTCCCTGTAATTTCCATCTTCACATAACATCATCTTTGGTCTGATCAACAATATTTTCTTATTAAGAAAGGCGACTCGGCAATTGTATAGAACATTTCTGTGTTGTACTGGCATGCCTACGTCGATTAACATGTCCTTGCAAGTAGGTGATTTGAGGAGTTCCGCGAGAACCTGCCAACTGTGAAGACACGTATCTGGCTCGTAGAAATGGTCTTCACAACTATAGCCACTAGAATAAAGTGAAAAAAAAAAACATGAAAACTTATAACATCGAAGCTCATTGGATCGTTCAGTCAAACCGAAACAAAAGGATCAAATTACCATATTTCCAACTCCGGTCCGGTTCTATAAAGAGCGCTCATCTCCTTAGCCTCCTGGATCGACTGAAGTATCCTGCTCATATTGCCTTCGAAGTCCAGCGCCCACTGGTTTAAGGTACATACTGCCACCGTCACTTTGCGACCCATTTTGTGACTGTACCTGGATAATGAGAAACATTGTCTCGTGTTTTTTATTATTATTTGCAGAATTATTTGATATTTTATACAGGATATCTATAAAATTGAACCCAAATCAAATGTCTTTAAAACGAACAACTTTAATTCTACCGCAACAAAAGATATTAGCGCAAAAAAAATCTCTCCACCTAAATACATTTCTTGACAAGGGTGCTCCATACTCGACCATTATAGTCAATTGCCATAAGGTTATAAATGGTTTTGGTCAAATGCCTATTACCCATAGTAAATAAGACCCTGACAAAGGTTATTCGCGTATGGCGAAGGCGGGTTTTACGTACGTAAACCCCGCCGACGCCGCCGGCGCCGCACAGTACGCTGGAACCGATAATTTATTTGCTTTAAAGCATATTCAGTACTTTTGCTGTACTTTTACTTTACTACTTTGTCACAAATATATTTATCTTCCAGTTTTCAATTACTGCGGCATCATCTGACCGGAGTTGACATCTCTCTTTACATTCTGGTACCTGAATCAGGAAAACGTGTGCGGTGTGTGGGCGAGTGAGCTCTCTTTAGGATGGAATGCGGGGTGAGATAAGGTTGCTTGAGTTCACCCCTGGTATTCAATCTTCGGTTACTTTATTAACGTAACCGACCTGCATATGTCTGTATCAATAATTTCAGCTACGCGGACGATATGGTGCTGCTGGCAATGCGAAAGCTACTTAATGTATGCGAGTCCTACGCGGAGTCGCACAGTCTAGCTTACAATATTAAAAAGACAGTATGGTCTTTGGGGTGGGACACAAGTTCCCTAATTTTGGATCACGTGTTACATGGTGTTCCCCTTAAAAGAGGGTTTGAATTAAAATTTCCGACATTTGGTAACCGCGGATCTTAACGATGATGTGCATAAGGAAAGGGAGCGTAAGGCGTTGTCAGTTCGGCCGAGTATGTTGGTTGGAAAGTTTGCTAGATGTACAGATGCAGTGAAGGTAACATTCTTTAAGGCATTTTGCACATCTCTGTACGCGGCAAGTTTGTGGATCAAACATGCTCAAAAACATGCAATGCTCTGCGAGTCCAATTTAATAATGCGTTGCAGCTCCTGCGCTTTTGCAGAGCTTCGGGCACGTTTTGACGCAGTCTGGCGAAACAAAACTGCCTAGCTGTTGAATAGAATGCGCGGGAGCTGTAATGGCATCCTGAAAGCGATAGCTGACGGGCCTGATTGTCTGATGATGTGTAAACTCGCACAGGAGCCAATTTCTATGTTAGTATTAATATAGCGTAAGCTCTACTAACATTAAAATGGACCTTGAATGTTGTCTGAAATAAATAAATTATTGTTATTATTATCACTAAGAGAGTATGATTTAGTTAGTAACCCAAATTAGACGCCGCGCCGTAGAGATTGTAAATAAATTTCAGATTCAAGATAAGCATCCAAACTGTTTAGTAATAATGATGGAGCTTTGTGGCCTAGAGGGCAGAGTCTGCTTGCGAAGCCTGCGGTCGCGAGTTCATATCCCGGTTAATTACTTTTTTTCTTTAGTTTCAAATACAAATTTGTTTAAGCATGTAGATGCTTAACCAAATGGGTAATGGGTATGGGTTAAACAATAAAGTTTATCTATTCGATTTTTGTTCAAAAATGTGTGTGCATGTATGTATATGTAAGCTCTTTTAGCACGTATATTATTACCATAGATTAGTATATACCAAGGTAATTCCTATTTAAGTTTAATTCGGTACTCGTTGTCAGTAGCAGTTTCATTTTTTTCTGCAAACATTAATATTGTAATGAATGTTTGTACCACAATAAATTAAGAAAACAAAATAGTAGATATAGTGACCATACAAACGCATGGGTCACAATTATTGTTCTACGTGGAACGAGTACATGGAACGACTGGGAATAAACGCCAAAATGAGTTGGTGAGGATACTTTTGAAGAGTTTTTATATTATTTAAACTTAATTGCACACAAAACAGTACAAATGGCGGACTTAATGCCATTAGGCTTTCTCTACCAGTCAACCGGAGAGCTGGGTTCAAAATAATTAACTAAGGTGCATAACATGACAATTAAAACAGACAGGAAGAAAATTGTAAATAATTATGAAATATAGTTTAAACTCAATATAAATATAGCACATAATATTATATGACTAACTATATACTTATATAAGCAACCTATATAGACACAAATACATAATATATAATACATACTCATATATATTCAATATACATATATATAACAATGTCAGGCTAATGGGATGTAGATTGAGACTCCAATATGAAATCGCGGACTAATTGCTTGAAAGCTAGTTTATTCCGCGCTTTTTGAATATGAGGCGGTAGAGCGTTCCAGAGTCGTATTGCCTGAAGAGTAAATGAGTTAGAAAGAAAACCAGTACGGTGAGAAGGAATTAAAAGAGTCAATTTGCTGTCTGAGCGAAGATTGCGATTATGGGATGCACCCAAATATTGAAATTTACATTTCAAATGTCCAGGTGCACATTTATCATTAATAATAGAGTAAAGAGTGGAAAGTATTCTCAAATCACGACGTTGGCAAATCGTAAGCCACTTCAACTCATTGCGACATGCGGATACGTGATCAAATTTTCGAAGTCCATAAATAAAGCGAATGCAACTATTGAGCAAGCGATCCAATTTGTTGAAAAGTTCCTGGGTGATATCACCATAACACACATCAGCATAATCAAGGATAGGAAAAATTATGGCCTGTACTAAGATGATTTTTGTTGAGATGGGAAGAAAGTGTTTGAATTGGTGGAACGATCTTAAGGTACCAATGATCTTCTGACAGTCAATCTGGGGTTTCCAGCTTAAAGTACTATCAATGTGTAGTCCCAGATTCACAACATGCGGTGCGAATACAATAGGTGTATCATTATAAGAAAGAGGCGCGACACAGCTCATGTCCAACCTAGTCAAAGCATGAGAACTACCCACGACAATACCTTGGCACTTACTTGGGTTGACACTGATGCCAAACTTACTCGACCAATCAGCGATACGCCTCAGAGCTTCATTAAGCGCTTGTATCTCATTATCCAGGCAGTCAATCTTGGTCTGTGCATATATTTGCAGATCATCTGCATACAGATGGTGAGAATTGTGGAGGATAGGAGAAATTAAATTGATGAAAACGGAGAACAATAGAGGAGAACGAATTCCACCTTGGGGGACACCTGCCTCAAGGTCTGACCAATTAGACATGGAGTCCTTAGCACGAACCGCTTGCTTGCGCCCTCGAAGATATGAAGAAAACCAGTCAGTTCCGGAGGAGAGATTCGCAGATAAGCAAAGATAGCAAGAAGGATATCATGGTCAACAGCATTGAATGCGTTAGAAAAATCAATGAGGACTAATACCGTTAACCGTAAGTCCTCCATGCCCTCCCGAATGTCCTCTGTAATGCCGAAAAACAAGCTGGTACTGGTCGAAGATATTCTTTCTAAAAAGAAAACATGATAGTTGGCGGTGAACAATCGCTTCAAGAATTTTTGAAAGGATGGGTAGTATAGAAATTGAAGTGTTTAAGGGTTGTGGGGTTATTAATCTTCGGAAGAGGCAACACATGCGCCCTGCGCCAGTTCTTAGGGAACGTACCAGATGAGAGGGATGAGTTGATAATGTGAGTAGTAATAGGCAGAGCACTATCTAAACAAAAGACTATCATTTGTCGACTAAATTAATGTCATCACATCCAACAGCTTTAGACTTTAAAGACATTATTGTTTTGCGAATATCGGACACCGACACCGTAGAAAAGATAAAACTTTCAGATGGTTGTTGGCACAAGGAAGGAACATCTTTGAGAGCATCCGCTTTGCCTGCCCATTGAGTGCCCATGAGGTAAAGCGTCATTCTGAAGCCTAACTAAGCCAATAGACTTCAAAAATTTCCAAGTGTCAGCTGGAGAAGAGTGGAGAAAGTTGTCATGAAAATAGCGACGCTTTGCAGCTCTCACCATCTGGTTACAGCGATTTCTATGAGCCTTGAAAGTAACCCAGTTTTCCTCAGACTTACAACGTTTAAATTTACGAAAAGCTCTGTCACGCCTCCGCATTGCTATACGCACCAAAGGAGCGATCCAGGGTGCAGATGGTCTTTTCAGTTTCACTGAGCGTAATGGTGCATGCTTGTCGTAAAAACTTAATAAGGTGGCGATGAATGTTGTCAGCTTGCCATCTACAGTGGGTGCTGCCATAATCCCGGACCAATCAATAGTACACGCATCGTGAGCAAGTTTGTTTAAGTCAAGACTAGTAAAATTTCTCAGTTCTCTAGTTTCTGGAGAACGTTTGTGAAGGAATGGAACTGCGAAGATAGATGGCTACACCACCACCTCTCTTCACAAGACGGTCATTGCGCACCAAAACATAACCTGGTAAGGCATACGTAGTTGAATTATGACATGGCTTAAACCAGCTTTCAGAAACAAGCACCGCATGTAAAGAGTCGAAGGAAAAAGTATCAAGCAACTCTGTGTGGTAACTAGGTATGCTTTGGGCATTTATATGGCATACATTAAAATGTGGAGACGCAGTACTAAAGATATTGGAGAGCTCGACACTCAATGCGTCAACCTCCATCTCCGAGTGATTCAATGAAACAAAAGAATCGGAGCTTGCACATGATAGAAAATCCTCAAAATCGTCTAAGTCTCACATATTTATACAGTATTAGGTAAGTAGTATACTAAAAATAAATATATAAATTATATAAAATAATTTAAATAATAATAAAAATATGCTTAAATAATAAAAGAATACAATGTAAATATTTGTGAAACTTTTCCGACAGTGAGAATCATGAAAGATCACGAGGTATATCTTCAACAACACGGTTGCTCTTATAATAATATTATAATCTAAGCGGCACTGGATCAAAAGATTTAATGGTATGCGCAGATCCCAAAAAGTCAGCCCGAATTGACACTTGTGTTTTATTATAAAAGCTCTAGGAAAGTAGGTAAGTACTATA